AAAGGAATAAAGAGTTTGTGGATGTGGAAGTAAAGGTAAGCCTAGATGGGCTAACCATTTATTATAGCATGAGTCTGAATCGACTAGTGTATTGTATAATGAGTCTTGTGGTGTTTCCTTGAAGTGTGATGATGCAATGGGATTCAAGGAAGTAAAAGGTTCCTCTGTAGATTCGATCACCGTATGCTCGGCTCTCACAGCTGCGAAGAGTTCCATAGCCTGCTCTGTACGTTGAGTCTGGCCATCATAAACTTGGTTCTCCGCATATAACAAAATAATTTATGTAATACATCTCTAGTAGTAGTTAATATATTAACAGATCTAATATAGAAAACCTATTAGTTATAATTTTAGTCAAATTTGCAAATTATTTAAACAGATTTTAAATTGTTTTGTTTTAGATCTGGCCAAATAATATGCAAATTTGGCTAAAATTATAACTAACAGGTTTTTTATTTATCAGATGATGCAGACCAACTACTAAACTAATATATAACTAGTTTGGTTATCACTTTATTAAATATCAATATTTGATGAAGAAATTAAATAATTGATCAGCTATAGCTGTGGCTAGCTGGCTATAAGTGGCTAGCTAATAATAACTAACTGATAACTGACTATAGCTACTGAATCCATCCCTAATCATAATATTTAAATCTATTTTTATCAAAAAATATTAGTAATATTCACATTTATGATAAAATTTTTATGCACTTAAAAAAAAACTTTTTACTAATTAACTTTATAATTTGGAATTAACAAAATATAAAGTTTAAATTGATGTTTTAGAAAATTTTTATTAATTTCGTTAGATTTGAGACAAGTAATATTACAGAAAAATTATTTACATAGGGTACAATGTTCTTATATAGTTCATCTTGTCTTTTTAAAAAATGTAGTCTGGTATTAATTATAAAAGATAATGTATTAGTATCAAAAATTAAAGAGCAAATTGTATTACTTTTGTATTCATCTTTGATTTTGTCCTTATAAAAAACAACTCTGAAGTTTTGTAAAATAAAATTAAAATAATAATATTTATAAATATTTGGTAGTTTTTTAAACATCTCAAAAATAGTTTTTAAAATTATAATATTAAAAAACTTTTCTATTCAAATAATACCAACAATATTAAAATTATTAGTAGTTGAACAATTAATAATTGAAAGTATATTATCTATGATATTTACTTTATTTTTTCATAAAGAACTTTAATTAGTCCAAAACAACTGTCACAAATAAATTTCATATATCCAAGTATCATAAAATTTAATTTAATTTTATCATATATACTATAATCAATTAATTATAAATAAAAAAATAATCGGAGTGTAGCGACCTAGTGAAGTGGTCAGGTTGTCAACCCCCAAGTGGCAGGTCCAGAGTTCAAATCCCAGTGTCGACAGAAAATTTGAAAATCCTTTCTGTGTTACGGTTAACTGTCTCTCGCAATTGGTTGGGATAAGATACCTGTAATCTGTGTCACACCAGCATGACTGGCAGGTCACATGGCATTTGTGTAACAGTCACATGACATTGTACTTTGGGACAAGGTCTGTAGTTACACAAAGGAATGCAAACTGATACTGGGTGGTGCAAACTTACAATAAGTCCTCGTAGTCATGTAAATCATAAGAACCAATAGAAGGAGATGGAAGTCCACTTGGAAGACCCGAGTAGAGAGGTAACCCAAACTTTCGACAGTGCTACTGTAAAGACTAGACTTGTAATACAGAGCTAGAACTTGTGAAACTAGGCAAATGTGCTGGTCCTTGGAGAGGGACCGGATGAACCAACCAGGCCGCTGGAATTTCCAGATTCTGGAGGAAAAGAATACATGCCGGCAAACATGTAAACCAGAGGTATGGTCTCGCCCTACCTTTCTGGGCTATCTGGAATGACAGCTTAGTGAAACTTGAATTGAATATCAAAGTAGTAAGGATATGTTGTGAAGTCAGTACTGGGGTTGAGGTGAACTCTATAAGGGCAAAAGCAGTTTAATGATATGCCCTGACCACCAGTGTTGGTCTTGGCCATAGCGATACCAGGTCAGCTGTAAGAATAGGATACAAAAGATACTGGAAGGTTTAGTACAAGGTCAAAGGTTCAAAGAAACTGCTTTAAAGACTTAGTGGGCATAGCATATTTTCATTGCCATCAGTCAGGGTCATTGGTAGGCAGAGGTAAGTGAGTGGATACGGAAACAGAGTGATTAAATAGGGAACCTACAAGTGGGTTTCAGGTATGGCAGCTAGTGTAGAACCTTTGAGCAAACTACTTAAATTAGACAATGACTAAAGTTGTACGAGTGGCTAGTTGTACACTCTTCCCATGGTTGCCCCCTGTGGTTGTAATGCAACCATTAGCCAAATATACTATCAATAAAATCCTAGGTTGCAAGTACTCACCTTAATATTTAAAAAAAAAAAAAAAAAAGTAGAGATTACTGTATTTAGTAACATATAATTTTTAATAGGCCAACACAATCTTTATAATTAGTAACCATTTGTCTGGCCTTTGTCAGCAATTTTCTTTCCTTTTATTTCTTGATATTTGTTTTTTTTTACATTTTTCTCCTATGCATATTTTTTTTAGTGCATTTCCTCTTAATAAGAAAATTTTTTTTGGTTTTTTATCTTTTTATGAAAGAATGATATCAGATTGGTACTGTTTAATTATAGGGTGGCAGACAGATGAGCTCGATTTAGACTTTAGCAAGTTTGGTATAGTAGATCACTCATAGGTGCCAATTGGAGTAATCATGTGATAATAGCACATAGAGTTAGAAATAGTTTTATTTGTATATTGTCTGTACTAAATATTTATAAATAAACTTCTGACTGGTTGACCATCATGGTTGCCAAAGGTTAAAAAAAAAATAAAAAATAAAAAATAAAGTACTAGTATGGCTGCTTAAGTTTAAAAAAAAAAAAAATTTTTATTTATTATAATAAAAAAGTATAATATATATTAATTTAAAAAAACTATACTTGTATATATTATAAAAGTCTCAATAGTAAATCCAAATTCTCAATTCTAACTTTTCAGAACTCTTTCCAATGATCCCTTGCACCAACTTTTTCCAAAAGTCTGACCTACGAAAACTATATAGTTATTGTATTTAAAACAAAACAAAACTCTACTTTGAGGTAACTAAGAAGGCTATTCATTACATGCTTGGTTGTAACTGAAAAGAGCTGAAAAAGATTCGAACCTTGTAAGTAAAGTCCCTTGGAAAAACACAAGTACTACTAAGCAAAGAAGTAGTAGATAAGCTCTGGAGCTTTGTTAAGTGCTATAAGGGCTTAGGCCTAAATAGTTACTTGGTTTAGTATAATATTCTATATAGCGTAACTCTTATAACTCTTTATCAAGTTGGTTTTCCCTTCTGCTCTCATTATTGGATTTTTCTTTCGAAATTTTTACCAAAAAGTGAGAAATTTGATGTACCCTCTCCAAAGGATCAGCACTGTTTACCTTGCCAAATCAGTAACATTAGCCATAAGAAAACCACGAGATGAGTATCGGACCTATGATGGACAACACGTGTCAAACTCAAGAGAAAAATAAAAACTTCGACCATTTTCTTCACGTGACAAATGGAATATATTATAATACAGAAATAAAGCAAATGTGGAGTAGTCTTTATTTAGTATTATATAAAATTTTTTAAAGCCATGCATGAGCAAAAATAGTGCCTTTATATTTCTTTTTGTTCTTTTCTTTATTCTTATTTTTTTTATCCTTTCTTTTTTTCTTTTGGTTTATGTTTAGGTTTTGTAGTTAGTCCCCCCTTTTTTACTTCCTTTTTAGTTTTTTCTTTCTTATATCTTGTTGTTCTTTAGGCAAGGATTATAGAATCCTCTTGCTTGATAATTAAAAGAGAGAAGAAAAAACAGATCGAAGATGAAGCTAGGAAAACAATTTTAAGGCTGGTTGTAAAAGAAAGAAGACTCTTTCATTATGAACTTTAAGTAGTTAGACAAGCCTCTTACTTCTGTTTAAAGTAATGCAGCAGGTTGCACTTAAGTGCCGTTAAGGTGGCCGGGTAAGGCTAGACTTAGTTGTTAGGTACACTTATATAATTGCAATAGTAGTTCCATAAATCTTAATAAAGTACTAGCATGACTGCCAATATTATAAAAAAAAAAAAAAAAAAAAAAAAAAAATTTTCAGATGTTGCATAATAATGCACTATTAGATATTATTTTACAGTTATATTGAATTATTAATTGTATTTTGAGAGATGAACTTGTTAGTAATAATGCATTTATTAAATTTTTTATTAAAATTTCAAAATTATAGACTATTTCTGTAAAGCATTAGTTTAATTATTTTCATTATAACTTATTAAAATTGAATTATAAAATTAAAAGATCATTAGAATCATTTTAATTTTTTTGAGTTTTGTAAAACATTGTTTTTTGGTCATTATCTTGCTATGTTCTTGGAAAGATTCTTCTATTTTTTAGTTATTCATATTTTATTATAATTTATTTCAACTCTTTCATTATTTTTTCTGCTTCTAATAGAAATCATATATCCTTATACTCCTTTTGGTGTTTTAGCATACTTGATTATTTATAAGTTTTCTTTGAATACAAACATTGACCTTTTCTCATATTTCATCTTTAGCAACTTCATTTGTCTTTTTAACTACTTTATTATTAATATCAATCATATTTTTATTAGATTCATAAATTTCTCTATAAAATATTCATTAATTTTATTATTTAATTGCTTATTTATTTTTCAGATTCATCAAGTTACTCATCTACTTTATTAATTTTTTTAACTGGCTCTAGCCTATCTATTATCAAAATTAAATCTTTATGTTTTCAAAAAGATGAAAATCATGATTTTTAACTCTATTAAAAAAATATAGCCTTAATAAATAAACTAATTGAACTAAGTATTTGCATAAGAAAAAATGATCAGTAAAATATACTAAACAAGAGCAGGTCTAGTTTTTTTGATTTGTTATATACAAATTATTACTTAATAACTTTTTTGAATGCATTTTCTATATATATTTAAAATCTGAATACCATGATGCTAATTATCTTACTTAATAATTTATTTGTTGTAGTTGTTTTAGTTTAATTACATATTAAGAAAGTAAGCACTTAGCAAGAACTCATATTAGTAAGTCAATTTGAGGCTTATTGAATTTATGAAGATAATCATATTTTATAAGTCTTCAATGTGATTCTACAATCATGATTGTTTTTAAAATTGAGATTTCTTGTTTTGCACTTTATGCTCAGTTGGGTATTTTAATGAGCTATACTACTGCAACCAAAGATATAATTATATTTATTTAAGATCATTTTCTTTAAAGTATAAATACATTTTTATTAATTTGTTCCTTAGTATAATACTGCTTATTATTTCAGTCAAGGAATATACCAAATTTGGTTACTAACAATCGCACCTTATTTAGCACTGATTGACAGTTGGATTATTCTAGATTATTTTTCAGATAATTCCATGTTATGTGACCATCAGCCAATCAAATCAGAAATTCTGACTTATATATTGACTTAAATATAGCTCGCAAGTTTACTTCAGTACTTTAATACTTCAGTATTTATGTTAAGCAAAACAAACCTTTGTTTAAGGCTCAATTTGAAGTATCTCTTGGCTTAAATGTAGCAATCTACAATATAGTTAGTACAAATTGTAAAGAGTATAGCTACATTTTTTTTGCTGAGTACTAACTGGAAAATTACTAACTTGGTATTTAACTTGCTCAGAAAAAAAGTTTTGTAAAGTGCTAGATAAGATCTGAAGATCTAAATAGATAGGTGTAAATGCAGAAATATCATATATTAGAAATACAGAAATAGAACTATATAGAATTAGAATTTACTAGGTTGAACGTAAATCTAAAATATACTCTAAATCGATTAAATTGAAATAAATTTAAATCATATTTTGTTAAGTTCTTATGTTTTTTTATTCGCTTTCATTACACTTTGATAACTGAATTCTTAAAATGCATATTTGGATATGAATGTAGTTTTTCAGAGTATAAAATGTTGGTTTATCAAAACTTTGGATGCAGTAGTTAGTTGCTATCTTAGTAATCACAGATGTAAAAACTTATCGCTATGGATTTTAAATCTGTATATTACTATATTATTGTTTTTGTCTGTCAAGTAAACTTTATTTTAAAGCTTCTAAATTCCAAAATTACTTGATAATTGATCTAGAATCCTTCTTGTAAACTAAGTGCACTCAGAATTAAACATATGGCATACACATCTAATCAAAATTTAAAAACTAAAGTTAAATGTGCTTATGACTGTATGATCAATACCTCTATATTTAATTAATAACATTTATTAAAACCTAATACTTCATGATAACATTATATACAAAAAAAATTCAGTACAAACAAATACAGAAAAAAAATTAAACTATACTATGCTCTATCCTAGCATATTTTAAACAAATGAATGCCTTCCTTTAATACTTTTTAACTTTAATTCTAATTTAATAACAGCTAATTCAATAGATTTTATTAGTATTATATAGATCGCAAGCTTTAATAATATACGAGCATTTAATATTTACCTTTATCAACTCGAATTCCATTTTGATAGCAACACCCAAGATCGAACATTTCATTAAAATGACCTACCTAATGTTGAAAACATCTAGTGGCTATAGTTAGTTTCATAAAAACTGAGTATTGTTGCAAGATATTTTTGTAGACAGAAATTCACTTTGTTTCTGCTATTAATTTAAAAAAAAAAACCCCCCAAAATAAATAAATAAAATCATAAATCGAACAAATATGCTTGCTTTTAACATACTCCATAAATGTAATGATACTGAACTAGCGAATATGATAGATCTATTCTTACTAAATAGAATTCGAAACATGTTAACACCCTTAAAGCAATAAATATTAAAATACCAAAAAAAACTTTATAAGATCTTTACTAGAATTATCAGTCTAATTATGAGTTAGCCTACAGCAGTGACAGTGTTTAATCCAAAGTAAATCTCTCTCACCTGTGATTAATCACAAATTAAATTATTTATGTTGGATTCAATTGTGATGTATATAATCCCTCACCAGTTTCAATATATGTATAACATTAACAGTCTTTGCTGCAAAGTTAGCCAGGACAGCTTCCAAAGTATTAGTGATGTAAATAATTTCTACCAATCAGGTAATATATTATAAATCATTTAATATATATATCACTGGTACTTTGGGGGCCACCCTGGCTAAACTCATCTAATCATATAATTAAAACTGCTAATTTCCAAGTAAAGATCTCATACATTCTTCTGTTTGCAAATACGAAAAATAAATAAAAACCATGCCCGAACTTGTGGATCCCTAACATAATATCTTGAATAACAATTTTTTTTCAAAAAAAATTAAAAGTATGTGAGTAACTTATTTAAATACTTTGATTGGTAAATGATTAATATATTCATGATTAAATCAATAAGGATTAGAAATTAAATAAAGCATTAAGTATATTTTTGCATATCAACCTTAGTTAAACTAGTTGACTTTGATTGATCAGTTTATTTGGCCAACCTGACACTGTTAAAAAAGGATAACTGAGATAATGGTTAATCTAATCATGTTCAATTCAGATAACCGATTAACATTTTTACTCTGCAAAATCCCTAAATAAAATAAAAAAATAAAAGCTAATATAAATAAAAATTAAAATTAAAATTAAATAATAAGATCCAGAATTGTTAGTTAAAAGAATGTGATTATTTTTGCCATCACACTAGTTAAATGCATATATATTTCTTATATTAGAGGGCTATAATCACTCTTGTTAATATGTTTCTAAATTTTCTGAACTGTCTTGATCATTAAATGCATTGTTCAGATCAAATAGGCTCTTTACTTCTTGCAGTATATTTAATAATTCACTTCGCCTTTTTGATCTTAATTCTAAATATTTTTTTCGAGAACTTTTGCCAAGCTGTTCAAGAAGTTTTCTATCTTTAATAAAATTTTGGCTTTAGTCATATTTTCTTCATTTTCTTGAGCTTTAGCTTCTTGCTTTGTAACCAGTATCAGTCTAAATATAAAAGAATTATTCTTATTAATAAATGTTTCAATAATAAAATTTTGTCGAGCTTGCTTCACTAAAGAAGTTAAGTTTTTTAAATTTTCATTCAATTCGTATTCTCCACCTAAGTTGTGAAAACTTGATCTTGAATTCATTAGATTTACAAATTCAAGACTCTGCAGAAGAGCTCAAAATCTTTGATATTCTACAGTTGATTCTGGTCATATTTTTGGTTCAGATGATTGGCAATTATTATATCCAATCACTTTAAACAGGTTGTTTCTAAGCTAAAATAGACTAATAATTTTAAATTTATAAATTTTAATTAATTAATTAATTAAAATAATTTTTTACCTTAAAAAATTTTTTACAGTTATGCACTGCAATCTTCCAGTGATGATCTTGTGGAATAGGAGGTATTAAAGACTTTAAAGTTTTGTTAATCTCCTTTATAATTGTGTCCAACCCTTGATGTTGTTCATAAATTTCTGACTGAAAAACAACACAATTTTTCTCTATAACATCACAAATTTTAGGATGAAGTTGCATTAATTGAACTTTGTTAACAACTTCTATTAGATGATATATAGGATGATGCCTTGCAGACCAAATAGAAGAAAACACTCTTTTAGTGGCCCTTTTCAAGAGCGAATCGTTGGTTCTTATGGCCTTCTGATAGTTAACAATCGCTTGAAGGTAAACAAATGTCTATTATTATAAGAAATCACATTAATTATTATAAAAAGATTTAAAAAACCTTAATGATGACCTGTTCATATTTTATCTAATAAAGTGGATCTTGTTGCTCTTTGACCCAAGCAAAATATTTTTTAACTGACAAGTTTGGATTGCTTTTTATATATGGCCATAGAAGTTCCATTGCTATTGCCTGATGATATATGACACAAATCGAATTCAACAATTTATGATGATCAGCATATTTCTTAAAATAAGCGAGTTGATTTTCAGTTCGGTAACCCTGGCATGTTGCAAATTGTCTTAGATCAATTTCCCTAATACAATTATCATGCAAGGCAAAAAAAGAAAATCAAAAAAAAAAACAAATAAAAATAATAATAATCTAATATACACATTCGATCACCTATTCGATATGTTAATTTGAAATAACTTACCAATTCAACTCTACAAATGCATGAAGCATATTCATCTCTTCATGTAATTGCCAGGTATTAGAACTAACCAAGGAAACTGTTCTTTCAACTTGGTAGCATAATGATATAGAACACCATCACAAGTTACTACTACCCGCTTACAAATCTCATTTCTAATACCCGATATCACCTCTATATGTAAAAGGACTTTTTTAACACTCACAATCGAATTGGGGTTAATATTAATCGGATCCTGAATATAAATTTTGGGAGTATTAACTCCTTGATTGGTAATTTGTTGAAAAAAGCTGATCTTAGAAGTACATGTAACACTCTGATCATTGTTAACTCTATAAGGTTTAAAAATAATTAGTTTAGTTATTTGATTAATTATATGATTTTCTATCTCAACCCCTTTTTCTTTTTGAATTTCAGCCAAAGTCAGTAGCTGCATTTTACAATTTGGGCATGTTTTTTTTTTATTTTTAATATCTTGCAAATTGCAGCTAGGACATTTTTTCCTTTTGGTCATATTAGTTGACATAGATGATACAAAAGAATCAATAATATTAGTAGAAGACATTTTTTCATATAATGACATAAAAATCTCACTTAGATAATTATATAATTCTTTATCAATAGCCTTTTGCATCTAAGAACTAATATTAAAAGGTTCTTCATATTGTAACCTGCTAAGAGAATTACATGCCCAAGGCATATCAGTATGTTGAATTTTGTTTTGTATCATGTTGAAAGCAACAAAACTGATAACGATATGGTAAATAACCATATTGAATCCCTGATCAAGATAATTCTTTTGTCCCCTTTGCTCATTATCAAATGCAAGAAAT